GGGGTGTGCAGGAGGCAGCTGATCGATGCTTCTCTCTCATCGATGTTTCTAACTCTCTATCCCTCTCCCTTCCTCTCTGTAAAAAATCAATAAAATATATTTAAAAAAACAACAACTCTGACCTCTTGGTCCATAAGTCAGTGCTCAACCACTGAGCCACACTGGCCGGGCTCTGCTGCCTTTTCTTTAGCCCCAAGGTTTACCCCCCTCCCTTATGTCATTTCAGCCCATCAAAATCCAGGTCAAACTGCCCGGCACAGCCCAGATGCCACCTCTTGCCTTCCCTACCTCCCCCATGGCCTGGTCCTTACTCTCTGCCTCGTTTTGAAAATGCCCATGTGCTTCTCTCAAACACTTGCTTGGGTGTGAGCCTATTTCCCCATTTGCTCCTCTAGAGAGATCTGTGGGCTTTTGATCATCAAATTTTATTTCTGTGTCTTTCATCTCCCATCTCTTTGGTGCGTCTCCAACCCTGCTTCTCTGTTTCTGTTGCTTACGTACCTGAGAGACCTTATAAAGAATCTTATGCTCTTCCCTATCTGTTCCTCGTTCCCTGCTTCTCTAAGTCAATGCTTCCAGCTCAGTTTTTCTGTTTCTGCCCAGGTCTCTGCTCTTCTATCCTCTGACCAACCTTCACTCCCTCAGGACTAAGCCAAGGCTGAGGCTAGAAGTAGGGCAGCAGCTTCCTGGGTCAAAAGACTGCCATATGTCAGCAGTGCCTGAGGCTAATTCATTGCTGGCCCCGGCCTTCCTGGGATAGGAACATTCTGGTCCCTGGAGCCAGCCACACCCCACTATCAGCTCATGACCCATAGCAAATATTTCATAGGCTTGCAGGATTTGTGCTCCATCTGGCTGGAGTAAGGGGTTTAATGCATGACTGGGATCAAGGCTCAGTCTGAGCCAGAACATTCCCTTTAACATTTAAAACGTATTTGTGACTGAATTGACCTTTGTCCCACCAGACACTAACCCATGGGTTACCCAGCTCTGATACCTGATGCTGATTAGTGCTTTCCTGGAGACCTTGGCCCCTGGGGACCAACTCCAGCTCTAGCACGGAGCCATCCGACACCCCCCCCCCCCCCCGCCAGCCACCACCAAAAGGAGAAAAAAGGGGCGCTTTCCTTTGCACACCTTACCTGGGACTCATACTTGAGCCTGCGACTGACCTCCTCCCGGAAGCCTGACAGGTTGGCGGGGCCCTCCCCGCAAGGGAACCTGGCCAGGATTTCTGTGGCATGGTCTCGCGGGAAGCCCTCTCCCCCGGCTGTGAGCGAGGAGGGGTCCACAAACTCGCTGAGAGCACAGACATAGGCCTCACCGCGCAGCAGGGAGATGACAGACCAGGTGATGGGGGCCACAGCCGCGCGGCCCAGGATGGAGCTCAGGAGGAGGAAGGTGGGGGCAGCCGAGCAGTTCTTGGTTCTCCGGTACTGGCACTCGGTAACTAGGTTCCAGGTGTGGTTGTTGAGGATGACGCCGATGATGAAGAGTGCTAGGGCGGGCACACCGATGGCCGTCAGCCCGTACAGGTAGTTCCTGGCAGGTGAACAAGGGCAGTGGAAAGCCACCACAGAGAACAGCTCCTGGCTGCCCACCGTGCCCAGTGCCACCAGCCCATTGAAAATCATCACGTCCTTGCTCTTGAAGAAAAGCGATAGAAAGCGGAAGTTCTCGGCGATCAGGGCTGCCATGGTGAGAGGTCGGCTGGAGGACTGGCTGCAGGGGTGGAGACAGGCGGTGACAGGGGTCGACGGTGCCTGGTGAGACTAGCAAAGAGTGCAGGCAGGTGGGCACCTGAGGGCAGGGCACGGTCCTGTCATTCTATCACCTAGAGTGGCCGGCCTGGTACTCCCTGCGGAGAGCAGATAACGGATTAATGTTTGCCTCTGAAAATGGGGAGAGAGGGGATCTTGTGTGTTCAGGCTGGTGAGAAGGGAAGGAGATGGGGAGCTCCGGGGCCTGGTGGGAAGGATGGCAGCCACATTTCACTGAGCTCCTGCTAAGTGTCAGGTGCGTTACAGCCCTCGTTGCCCAGCACCATGACCCACACTGAGCTGTCATATCCCTCGTGTATAGAAGGTGGAGGCTCCTGAGGGGGAGTGGCTTCGCAGGGCCACATAAGTGGCTGAGATCACACCTCAGGTCTATCTGCCTCCGACACTGTGGTTCGTGTTGCTACTGCAAGATTCTCTCGAGGTGGGGGTTAGGAATGGCCCTGTGGCCTTGGGGAATGTGGGACGTCGACTGGCTTTCCCACTGGGATTCCAGGCTGAGGGACCCAGGACTGTTTGGAGGGTGTGTCCTCAAAGGGGTATAGAAGCTGGAGTGGGTGTCCTGGTGGATAAGGGACTTGGACTTGACCCTGTGATGTGGGGCAGGTGGAGGAAGGTAGTGACCCTGGTTCAGCATCCCTGGTGTCCATAAGAACCATTTCATCTTGGAGACCTCAGGCTCTGGACTGGTTTAGGACATCCTGACTCAACTCCCTTCATGACTTTTCTCTGGGCCTCAGTGTCCTCATCTACGAAAAGAGCATAAATCATTCTGGTCCTTGCTCCCTTAGGAATGAATGCTGGAGGGGAGAAAGGGCATACACAATGCCTGCTAATGGTCCTGTAGGACACTTTGTCCCTCCATCTCTCTTACCCGGTGGAGCCTTCAGGGTGCTCCCAGAGGTGAGGCAGGGTGGGATGCTTCTCCTTCCTGCAAAGATCAGGCAACTAAGGTCTAAAGAGGATAAAATACCTTGCTTGGGGCCATTCAAATGTGGAGGTGCTCAGGTGGGACTTTTGACCACAACCTCAGGAGGCCTAAAAATGGACCAGGGTGAGTCAAGCTAAGTGAGTCCTCCATTGCTCTGTGCCCACCTACGAGAGCCCTGGTGAACCTCCCCTTCCTCACCCACTACCCGTTCCCTATCCAGCAGCCTCCCAGCAGCCCTCTTGCACCAGGTCCCTGGACTCAGGGATCACACAGCTGCCAGCGACAGGAAGCCTTGATGAAGCTAAGGCTCGGCTGTGCTCGCCACTGGCTCTGCCCCACTGGCTCTGCCTTGGTCTGGGCTGCAGCAGCGCTGGCAGCCTGTCAGGAAGTGGTCGTGGCCTAGGCTCCAGGCTGGTTCCACTCCAGCTGCCTTCCCAGGCTCCACCCACACAAGCCAGAAACAAGCCAGAAACAAGCCAGGGTGTGGCCCGGCCCCATGTGTCCTTCTCCCCATCCCCGGAGGAGGCCAGGAGGGGGGGTGGGTAGATGTGGAAGAGGGCTTAGAGGAGATAAATGGTGATGGGAAAAATAAAATAAAAATTTAAAAAATCCCATAGGCCAGAGGAAGCCAGGGTGTAGGGGGCTGGTGTGGGCAGCTAATTAACGTGAGGAGACTTGCCCATATTTCCTACTATGCCTCCTCTCTGCCCAGGTTGCCAGATGGGTAGGGCAGAGCTGGCTGACCATGTGTGGGATGCCAGGAGATGGAGGCAGAGAGGGATCCAGCTCACAGCCCAGGGGCTCCAGTCTAACTCCCTGGAAAAGGGAGTAATATTGCTGGGGATGAATGGGTTAAAAGCAGCCCCTTCTCCCTCTCCCCTCCCCCCCCCCCACCTTGGTTTCAAGGTTCCTAATGAGCTCTGTGGGAAGCCCTGGGTTTATAAACTACAAAGTGGGGTATAAGATGCCTGAACACTGGTGGGCAGAGGGGGGACCAGGCCAGTTTCTGAGACTACTGCCCCCATCCCCCCAGCTGGGAGTGAGACCTCCAGCAACAGTCAGGACAGGGGTCAGGTGGCTGGGGGAGAGACAGGATTGGCCCCTGCCAGAGTTGGGGTAGGGAGTCGGGGGAGCGGGAGGTGGGGGCGGGGGATGCCTCAGCTAGGGGCCTCTCTCCAGGACAATCCCTCTGGGCAGCCTCAGATTGGCCCTGCCCTGCTCACCTGTCACCGGGCACACCCCAGGGAGGGGACCTTCCTTACCTGGGACCAGCGGCAGACAGGCACGGCAGAGTGGCTTTGGCCTCCTTGTGGCTGGGCTCTCTGAGTGGCTCTCAGACTTGGGAGCGTGGGGCCTGCTGGGGTGGGGCTGTTCCACCGAAGTGCCTTCTGTTGACCATGCCCTCCAAGAACTCTCTCTCACTTTCTTCTGCACAGCTGGGGGCGTCCTCAGGAAAGTTTAACTCCCAAAAGAGGAGGAAACAGCGGGATGGAGCTTGCACGCCAGTGAGTGGAAAACATCCCCGAGCCAGGCAGAGGAGGGCGGGCAGCAGAGGGCGGTGCGAGAGGAGAGGAAGTTGGGCTGCCTGTTGAGCAGCTCTTGGCCTGCGGCCTGAGCCTGGCGCTGCCCGCCTTCCCAAAGAAGAGAGCTGCTGCCGGAGCCCACCTGATAGTGCCCTACACCAGTGGGACTGGTTCAGGTGAGTGGAAAACATCCCCGAGCCAGGCAGAGGAGGGCGGGCAGCAGAGGGCGGTGCGAGAGGAGAGGAAGTTGGGCTGCCTGTTGAGCAGCTCTTGGCCTGCGGCCTGAGCCTGGCACTGCCTGCCTTCCCGAAGAAGAGAGCTGCTGCCGAGAGCCCACCTGACAGTGCCCTACACCAGTGGGACTGGTTCAGGGCCAGGCTGGGGGCCTGTGGGAGAACTGGCCTGGGCCTGCCTTCCCAGCCAATTACAAGAGCAGCCCCTATGCTTGACACCCTGCCCCCACCCTGGCTAGACAGAAGCTGCTGGGACAAAACCTTGGCAGGGTTAGGGGAGAGATGCCATCAGACTGAAGCTGACCCATTGCAGGATATGCAAGGCTAGGCCTGCCCCCTGCCCGCAGCCTCCACCCATCCCCACCCCTCTTCTGGCCCTTCTCCTTCAGCCACTGCCAGGACAAGTCCTTCCATCCAGACTCCAGCTAACTCCTCAGTTACTGCTTCCAATCTCAGAGGACTGGTGATAGAATTCTGGAGTCTAGGGATTCTCTGAGGCCCTGTGGGCAGAACTCTGACTGGTTGATGGAAATTACAAGGAGGCGGGCTTTTAAGAAAAGCCTCTATAACAGTGGTTCTCAACCTTCCTAATGCCGCGACCCTTTAATACAGTTCCTCATGTTGTGGTGACCCCCAATCATAAAATTATTTTTGTTGCTACTTCATAACTGTAATTTTGCTACTGATATGAATCGTAATGTAAATATCTGATATGCAGGATGTTTTTTCATTGTTACAAATTGAACATAATTAAAGCATAGTGATTAATCACAAAGACAATATGTAATTATCTATGTGTTTTCCAATGGTCTTAGGCGACCCCTGTGAAAGGGTCGTTCGACCCCCAAAGGGGTCGCGACCCACAGGTTGAGAACCGCTGCTCTATAATGATCAGAGCTGCCCAGACTGTGCCAAAAAGTGGTCGTGAGCCCCCCATCTGTGGAGTGTGCGAGCTAAGGCTGAGAGCCATGAGTCAGGAATTCTGCAGAGGAGAGAGTGTTGTCCAAGGACAGGCTGGATGACTCCTAGGATCAAGGGAAAGACCCCCAGCTCTGTAATGCTTGCGGTTCTGTCACAGTGGAACTGCTGAGTGACATGCTGGCCTCTGAGCTGGACTTGTCCATGTGCAGGAGTGAAGGGCAAGGGACCAGAGTTTATTTTTCAGATCCTACCACGTGACAAACACTGTTCCAGATTCTTCCTTCAAAGTTATCTCCCTTTATCCTCACCATCATCCGGGAAAGCAGATCTTTTAATGTCCATTCTACAGATGAACACACTGAGGCTCGAAGGGATTCGGTGACTTACCAGAGGTCCTACAGCTCTAGTATTTAAACCCACATCTGCCTGACCCAAAGCTTTACTCTTCACATTTTTACTTCCCAATACCTCCTGGCTGGCTTTTCCCATTAGAAGCCCCGCCCCTTCCCCACCCCACCCCCAACACACACCTGATCTTTACTCATTTGAATTCTCCCCCTCATTCAGGGTCTAGATCAAGTCCCACATCCTGGAGGAGCCCTCCCGCCCAGCTTGGCCTACAGGGATGGCCCTCCTCCCAAACCATTAAAGGGAGGGAGACCAGGCTTCACACGTGGAAATAGAGAGAAGGGTGCATATGGAAGAATGGAAATTATTAAAACAATGTTGTAGGGCTCAAGATCAAAATGAATTCTTAGCCCAGCCGATGTGGCTCAGTGGTTGAGTGTCAACCTATGAACCAGGAGATCATGGTTCCATTCCTGGTCAGGGCATATGCCCGGTTGTGGGCTCAATTCCTGGGTTTCTATTTCTCTCTTCCTCTCTGAAATCAATACAAATATATGTTAAAAAAACGAATTCTTAGATGAGTAGGATTTGCATCTTTTTAAAAATATATATATTTATTGATTTCAGAGAGAAAGGGAGAGGGAGAGAGATAGAAACATCAATGATGAGAGAGAATCATTGACTGGCTGCCTCCTGCACGCCCCCTACTGGGGATCAAGCCTGCAACCGCGTATGTGTCCTGGGCCGGAATCAAACCCGGGACCCTTCAGTCTGCAGGCCGATGCTCTGTCTACTGAGCTAAACCGGCCAGGGCAGGACTTGCATCTTAAAGATAGGTGAGGGGACAAGAAGCCCATCTTCTTGGCCTATTTCCTCCTCTTCAACAAAGATGGCTGCAGTTCCTGATGTCCCTCCTCTCATGTCCAGGGGGACGAGGAGGTTAAGCCCACAGGTTCAGAAATCAACAAACATGTCAGCCACACACACCGAGTGCCTACCATATACCATGTCCTTTATACACTTCACTCATTTAATCTCACAACAACCTCGTGAGGGAGGTGCCCTCATCTCCATGGTACATAGGAGGAAACTGAGGCACAGAAATGAAGTAACCGGCCAAGGGACACAATTTGTAAGTGGCAGAGCCAGCTTCTGACCCCGTTCTGTCTCACTCTGGACTCTTGAGCTGTTTCCACTCCAGGCAGCCCCCTTCCACCCCTGCACCCTCATCCCCACCTCAGGGCAGTGCCTCAAGCACTTTAGAGCCTCCACCCAGGAGGTGGGGTCTTTGAAAAAATGGGAAGACTCATCTTGTGTCCAACTGCCAAGCCCTGCGGATGGCCTGATTTCCCCTGGATGTGATGGAGGTGTCAGTGAGAGGACCTTCACCATGAGAGGTGCTTTGGTCTGAATGTGCCCCCTCCAGGATTCATATGTTGAACCCCCAAAAGTGATGATATTAGGGGGCGGGGCCTCTGTGGAGCCCTCATGAATGGGACTAGTGCACTTATAACAGAGGCTCCAGAGCGATCCCTAGCCCCTTCTGCTGTGTGAGGACAGTGAGAAGGCACTGGCTATGAGTCAGGAAGAGAGCCTTCACCAGAACGGGACCATGCCAGCACCACGGTCTTGGCTTCCAGCCTCCAGAACTGAGAAATAATTGTCCTTTGTGTATAACCTACCCAATCTGGGATATTTTGTTACAGCAGCCCAAACGGACTAAGACAGGAGGCCTTTGGTGTTAAATAAACGTGCAGTCCACCATGACAATTGTCGCGTGACCTCCATGGTGACCACATACCCTGGCTTCTCCCTAACGGACCTAGATTCTGGCATCTTTTGTGTCACACCAGGTGTGACGCACCTTGGCCTGGTCAGCCTCACTCAGGAGACAGGCCAAAAATCAGGGGACTGCTGTTTCATGAGACGGCTGGATGCCCGCTCACTCCCTGAGCCTTGAGCATAAAGGAACGGAGATCTCAAAAAGTCACAGACAAGCATGGATGCTGGGGCAAGGGTGTCCGTAGAACCTGAGTGCAGATCATGAACCAGAAATAAAATGGCCTGGGAGGGGATGGGGAAGTGGGAGCTTGTCCCCTTCAAACCAATTTTGAACCTTTGACTAACACTGCTGTGGCTCCACTGTCCACTTTTCTGGGGCCATCTAGGGCGTGTGACAGCTGGAGGAGTGAGGTCCCCTTCCAACTCCAAATTTCCAGCCTCAAATGGGCAAGTGAATGCCTGGGCACGTGGGTCTGCTCCAGGGCCTTCCGCCCAGCACCTGTAGCCTTCATTTTTCCATCTGGTTTGAGGTCAGATGGGCCGTGAGCTCAGACCCCCATTCCTGCCTCTTCATCTGGCCACAGCTCACACTTTGCTGAAGTAGGTGGCCACCTCCTTGCGTGGAAGCCGGGGCCCGCCCCCTGGCCAGCCATTGCCCATCAGGGGCTCCTCCTGGCCCAGCTTCAGGGGCGGCTTGCATTTGTGCCAGCTTGTGAGCAGCCTGTTCATGGCACCTTGATCGGTGATGCCTCGAAGCTTCTCCCTCTCTTCCTTGGCACCGTCGGTGGTAGCTGGGTCAGCTGAGCTAGCAGGGGCCATGGCCAGCGCCCCGTGGGTGTGACCCAGCTCCAGGTCATGGTTCATGGCCTCAAAGAACTGCTGGATACAGACCTTGGCGAAGGCCTTGGCGTGCTCCGTGCATGTCTCATCGAAGAGCTTGCGCTCAATGTCAATATAGTGGGACCAGTACTTGCTTTTGAGGAAGGCGGCCTGTGTAAAGCAGGGTCGCACAGAGCGCACGACAAATGCCAGCAGTGTGGTCAGCAGCACGAAGGACCAGCCCAGTGCCTGCATGGGAGAGAAGGAAGAGTCAGCAGGCATTGCCCTCTGGCCTCCCAAGTCTGTCCGCACCCCACATAGCACTCTCTATGTCAGGCCCTTTAGTGAAAAGAGCACCAATTGGACAAGCGACTTCACCTCTTGGCCTCCATTTACATGTCTGTAAAATAGGCACACATATACCCTTTCCATGAAAATCAGATCAGGTGAAGAATATGCCCCATGTGTAGGCCTGGCACTCAACAGGCAGGCGTTAACTAGGCAGACCCTGGAGTTAGGCTGCCTTGGGTTTGGATCCTGTCTCCACTACTTACTAGTTGACCAGGAGTAAGCTCACTTCTCCGTGCCTCGGTTTCCTCACCTATAAAATGGGTTGGTGATAGTTCCTATCTCATAGGATTGTTGTGTCTGGTACATAGTTGCTCAGTAACTGTTAGCCACTATACTTATGCCAATA